ACAATTCTTCGGCACCCAACTTTTTTCATAGCACAAGAAGAAACGTTTGTTTTTCGTTTCATAAGTACATGTTTCCAGTCTACCAGTTGAGCTGCTATAAGAGCTGTATTAACCATAGTTCATCTTTAATGAAGGACTGATAATCTCGAAAGCAATCTATAACTGAATGATAAGTGATGTAGTCTAATGCGATAGCAAATACAACTTTCCCTCTATGAAATTCACATCTGCCCTGTGATTCAAGGGCTCTTGTGGGAATATGGCGTAGTGATTAACGCATCTGGATTGCATGCTGCATTATCATGGTTCGAGTTCCACTGAGGGTGCTTATGAAACTAAAGTCCAGCCTGGATGAGAATACCTTTTAGAAACCAGGCCGTGTGAAATTCAATGGAAGCGTAAGATCTGCTCGTATTATTGTGAAAGGAAACAGCTATTATTTAAGTATTTACGAGTTCAAAGATAATCTCTGGCTTAGGAATTCAACCGAAGGTATGGAGACCAGGATAGAGTGGCCCTTTGTATGATCGCAGTTTCCTTTCGTTCTATTGAAGTTGTTTGACTTTGGTTTTACAACTTGGTCATATAAGCAGGAAAACCTTGAGGAATGCACCTTGTCTAGAGCCCATAATATGCATGATCTTTTCCAGAGTGGGACCATGGACTTTGTACGGTTCACCGATATCGTCAGTAAGCCCACCATTCTTAGTACCACATTGAAACTCGTCAAAGAGACAAGCTATGTCAATCCAATTGTTGGGAATGTACCAAGTCCACTGTCCCACTTTTGAAATGATCATCCATACAATGGACACCGGACTAGGTGCGTTCCTCCAAGTCTTCCTACCTTGCGAAAACAAGGTCAAACAACCTCTATACAACGAAAGGAGACTGCGACCACACAAAAGGATATCTTGGTCTTCATACCTTCAAATAAAACTTTTTGTTTTACTAAATATATATAAATAGCATAAATTATATCTGTTAATTTTGACATGAAGTTCTCTATACAATGAATTCGTGAAATTGTCCCGCAATAAACCGAGGTAGGATTGCCGCGTAGTGAAGACTGTTGAAAACACGAAGAAGTCCTTTGCTCACCGTCTTGTGAACCCAATGAACCTTTACATCATTAGAGCAAGAAATCATACCTTACGAAATAGCAAATAAAATATGCTAGACCAAAAAATAGATGGTTCGTGGTAACCCTATTAACTTTTTGTATACACCTAACCTTGCAATCTCAAAATTACTCCACATTCTTGCAGATAAATGACATTAATTTATGAACAAGAAATAGCTTCGCTGGCAGCTGTTTCCCGCCAAAATCAACTAGCATACAATCATCGAATGCCGACTCATGTTTAGGTATCTATTGTGTGTCTTTTGTGTGTAGGTAATCTTCATGTCATAAGAAGTGTGATAGCCCTAACTAGACTCAAGGCTAATTTAGCCTCCTTTTCGTGCTTAATGGCCCTTTCTATTCTCCATCTACATAAGTATATCCAATCACATGATTGCATTAACTAGAAAGATGGTCCAAAAATTATCGTAAAGAAGGCTTGACTGAATAAAGTATTAATTTCCCTTTACGCATTTTTCTGATGATCCACTTCCTCAGGTCACCCAATATTCTACCCGCCTATCCCGCCTCAAATAACAATCACACCTCATCCTGTTTCAGATTATTGAAATGAAATTATCTATTCATCTTGATAGGTTTTGAAATAAAGTATATGTCAATCTACCGATTTCCTGCTTCATGCAGCATTCTCCTGGCCATAATTGAGCCTAAATCTCTGATTGAATATGAAATTAATTAGTTAACCTCGCATCTGTAAGTTTCTTATACACGGCTCTGCCCAACTTATTACCCTCTTTGCTCATTATTACATACAGAAAAGGTAGTTTATTCCATCACTTTAAAGTGCTTACGGTTTCTCTTCCTATTGGAATTCGTCATTATGTACAAAAACCAAAAAAATATTATTACATGACAGGTGAAAGCTTAGTATGGGTTCATCGCAGGGCAGTAAGCAGAGGACTTATTCGAAAATTCTAACAGTTTTTACTCCGCAGGTGAGACCATTTCACGAATTCCTTCAAAGCAACTTTTCCTTCGAAATGAAATGTTATGTTACAATAAATCAATATGGAATTCTTATAATTATGCTTCGAAAAGCAAAAATAGTTTGCAATATAGGTTAGTCATATTGCTAAAGTAATGCAAATTTAAACAACAAACAAAAACACTTTTTTAATTTTGTCATTTTTTTTAAGTAAAAAATCAACATTTTGTGCTTTTCCCTTATGAACTCAGAGGCACTTAGACACTTCGGAAAACGGTTGACAGCGTTTGAGCACGAAGAGATTCTGGCCTATCCTCAGCTCTTCTTCCTGGGTCTTTCTGCGAAAAAGCTGAATATGGCTCGTGGATATGCGCACAACTGCGGCAACGATGATGAAAATGGCGGCTATATTCGAGTACGTGAAATCGTTGCAAAACTCAGTTCATATTTAAGCATTACATAATTACGAACTTGGTCATTATAGTCGTTTGGGTTGAGGAGGACGGTATACAATCTAAAGACGATTTTTACGCAGCCATGGACCAATTCATCTCCTCCTTTCTGTTCTACCCTCTCATTTTTTATTTTATTAGATC